AAAAGGGAACCTACAGACTGGGGAAAAAAATCTGGCTATGACATATGCGACAAAGGTCTAATCTCTGCCATCTACAGGAAAATCCAATACCTCTACAATAAAAAAAATAATCCAATTAAAAAATGGGCAAACGATATGAACAGACACTTCACCAAAGAAGACATTCAGGTGGCTAACAGACACATGAGGAAATGCTCACCATCACTAGCCATTACAGAAATGCAAATCAAAACTACAGTGAGATACCATCTCAGCCCGGCATTACTGACATGAATCAAAAAACAGAAAATAACAAATGTTGGAGAGGTTGTGGGGAGATTGGGACTCTAATGCACTGCTGATGAAATGCAAAATGGTACAACCATTTTGGAAAACAGTATGGCACTTTCTTAAAAAGCTAAAACTAAAAATAGCATACAATCCAGCAATCCCACTCCTAGGAATATATCCTAGAGAAATAAGAGCCATCACATGAATAGACATATGCACACCCATATTCATTGCAGCATTATTTACAATAGCAAAAAAATGGGAAAAACCTAAGTGCCCATCAACAAATGAATGGATAAACTATGGTACATACACACAGTGCAATACTACGCAACGATAAAGAACAATGATGAATCCGTGAAACATCTCACAACATGGATGAATCTGGAGGGCATTATGCTGAGTGAAATGTCAATCACAAAAGGACAAATACTGTATGTGACCACTATTATAAAAACACATGATCATGTTTCCACACAGAAAGAAAAAATCTTTGATGGTTACGAGGGAAGGCAGGGGTGGGGAGGGAAAAACACTAACTAATAGTAGATAAGTGGTCTTGGGTGAAGGGTAAGACAGTACACAATACTGGGGAATTCAGCACAGCTTGACTGGGGCAAAGTCATAAAAAAGAAAGAAATACAATTGCCTTTTCATATATTGACTTCGTATCCTGAGACTGTCAAATTAACTAGTCTTTTTTTTTTTTAGATTCCTTACAATTGTCCACATAAACAATCATGGCATCATCTGAGAATAGAGACTTTTCTTTTTTTCCAACCATTCTACCCTTTCCTCCTTTTTTATTGCCTTATTGTACTGGTTAGAACGTCCTGTAATATGTTGAAGTAGTAAGAGTGAACACACTTGCCTTGATCTGAACCCAGTGGGAACACCATTAAATATTTCATCATGAAGTACGTTAGTGGTAGGGTTTTGGGACATACCTATACTCCTTTATCTGATTGAGGAAATTCATTTGCTCAGGTTTTTTTTAAATCATAATCATGAATTTTGTCATATGATTTTTCTGCTTGTATTGAGATGGTCGTATGGTTTTTCCTCTGTTCTGTTACTATGGTGCATTACACTGATTGTTTAACTATCAAATCAATCTTGTATTTCTATAACCAAAATCCCACTTGGTTATGATGTATTACCCTTTTTATATTACTGGATTCGTTAATATCTTGTTTAGGATTTTTGCATCTGTATTTATGAAAGATGCTGCTCTGTCATTTACTTTCTTGCCTTGTGTTTCTCAGGTTTTGATGTTATAAAGTGAGCTGGGAATTGTTCCCTTCTATCAATTTTCTGAGTGTATATATGATTAGTATTATATTTTTCTTAGATGTTTGGAGGAATTCACCAGGGAAGCCATCTGGGCCTATAATTTTCTTTGTGAAAATATGTTTAATTATAGAATTTATTTAGTGGATATAGAACAATTCTGGTTTTCAGTTTCTTCTTGTGTCAGTTTTGGTAATTTATATTTTTCAGGGATTTTATCCATTCTTAGTTTTCAAATTTATTAGCATAAAGTTGTCCATAGTGTTCTATTTTTAATATGAGAGCTCTATAGTGATGCCCTCCTTTTCATTCCTGATATTAGCAATTTGTGTTTTCTGCCTTTTTTTCTGGATAAGTCTTGCTAGGGGGTTATCAGTTTTATTAATATTTAAAAGAACTAACTCTTGGCACTGTTGATTTTTCTATATTTCATTGATTTATTGCTCTTTTATTAGTTCCTCCCATTTTCTTTGGGTTTAATTTGCAGTTCTTTTCCTAGCTTCTTGAGATGGACACTTGGATCACTAAATTTCAGCCTTTTTTCATTCCTAATATAGTCATTTCATTCCTAATATAGTCATTTACAAAACTGCCATCAAGTCTATTCTGACTCATAGCAAACCCATAGGACAGAGTAGAACTACCCCACAGGATTTCCAAGGCTGTAAAATCTGTACAGAAGCAGACTGCCACATCTTTCTCCCACAGAGGGTCTGGTGGATTCGAACCACTGACCTTTCAGTTAGAAGCCAAGCACTTTAACCACTGCACCACCAGAGCTCCCTATATATTCAGAGCTATAAAATTTCTCCTAATTCCACAACTTTTGGTATGCTGTATTTTCATTCTCATTCAGTTAAAAATATTACCCGATTTCCATTGTGGTTTTTTCCTTTGCCTATAGATCATTTAGAAGTGTGTTGCTTAATATCCAAACACTTGAGAATTTGCTGTCTATTACTGACTTTTGGTTTAATTTCATTGCAGAGAACATAATTTCCTTGATTTCAATTTTTTGAAATTTGTTGTGACTTGCTTTATGGCCTCAAATATTGTCTCTTTTGGTTAGTGTCCCATGTACACCTGTGGAGAATATGTAGTGGGCTTTTGTTGGGTGTAACGTTGCATGTATGTAAATTAGGTCAGGTAAATTAATTTGCTAATTCTTTTGTTTTTCTCTATATCCTTACTGATTTTTTTCCTGGTTTTATCAGTTACTGAGAAGTATGTTAAAACCCCCAACTATAACTGTACACTTGTTTAGTTCTTTTGCGTTATATATCTTGAAGCAATATTACCAGCACTATAGAAATATAGGAACATTATATATTCCTGTTAAGTTTATCTTCTTATTGTTATACAATATCTTATTGCTAGTAATACTTTTTGTGTTAAAGTCCACTCTGCCTGATAATCATGTACCCACTCTCATTTTCTTGGTTAGTGTTGGCATGGACTGTTATTTTTTTCATCCTTTCCATCCTGTGTCCTTATATTTAAGTGTATCTTTTGCAATGAGCGTATAGTTGGGTCTGTTTTTTTACCCAATCTGACAATATCTTTAAATTGGAGTGTTTTGTCCATTTATATTTAATGTTTTGAGTTTGTCTACAATCTTGCCATTTATTTTCTATTTGGTCTCATCTCGTCTTTATTCCTTTATTTCTCCTACCTTGCCTTGCTTTGGATTAATAATATATATCATTATTTTTTTCTATTAGTTTTTTAGTTAAATAGTTTTATTACTGCTTTAGTGGTTACCCTACAGATTACAGTAGCTTCCTTAATTCATTACAGTCCACCTTAAATCAATCCAAGAATTTTTCCACCGTGCCAGCCGACATGAGGGTCCCCAACCTCACCCAAGCAAAGCTGCCCCTTCCCAGCAGCACCTGCCCCATGGTCTTGGGGACCTCGAAAGCTGCAGCCTCCCCATGCCTCTGCTGTCATCTTCACAATGGGGACCGTGACTCCTGCTGATACTGTAAGATGGACTGTCACCACTGGGATGTCACCCTGCGCCAACACCAGCAAGTGCCAAGGAGGGACACCATGCTCTGGAGCAAGTGGGGGAGGGGACACTGCGGCCCCCTCAGGAGCTCAGAAGCACTGTTCTCCCCACCTTCACTTCATGGCCCAGCTGCGACACACACAGGGCAGCCCTGGGGCCCTGGGCTGACACCTGGTCCCCGCCCTGACAGCTGCTGCCTCCTCAACCCTGCACCAGCCCAGGCTGGGCCCCATGACCCTCCGGATGCAGTCCTGAATGAGGTTCCCCAACGTCCAGGACCACTTGCATGGTGAACCTGAGTTCATCTGTCCCCAAACTTCTCCAAACTGCCTGGAGTGAAGGTCACGAGCTCAGGAATTGCTGGCTCCGTTGGTTGATAATAGCAAAAAGCCTAAATACCGAGAGCTCTGCCCCAAATGCGCAGGCAGCCCATCCACACTGCCTGAAGGCGAGGCTGGGGGCCCACGCTGCCGTCACAGCCTCCTGGGCAGGTGGGTGAGCCCTGCCCTGAGGGAAAATACTGTGGCCCCTGCAGCACTCTCAGTGCAGATGCGGTGGCCGAGGCTGCCCCACCTGCTCCCACATCCCCATATGTCCTGCAGATAGGCTGGCCTCCACCCTGGGACCTCACGTGTTCATGGGGCGGGTCTGTCACACGGGGTGGCTCATAGTCCCGCCCCACAGTTCCCAGGCCCAAACCCAATCTGCCCTGCTCCCCCTGCCCCGCCGCTGCAACAGAGAGGCTGGGGACCCTTCCCCACCTCCACATCGTGGGCAGCTTCCCCAAAACAGGCCAGTTCCAGGAGTCTCTGCCCCATCTGGGGACCCAGGTCTTGGTGGAGCTCCATCCACTGTGTGCTGACCATGCCTACACAGCCATGCTCAGCTGGCACAGGTGGGGGATGGCCTGAGGGCCATGTGGGCACAGGGAGGGCACGCAGGCACAGGTGGGCTGGCTGGGGGCACCTGGAAGGTGCGCAGGCACATGGGGGGGGGGTGGGCACAGGCGTGGCCGGCCTGGAGGATCCAGAGGACAGAGGGCGGGCGGGCACAGGCGTGGCCCGCCTGGAGGATCCAGAGGACAGAGGGCGGG